AAATTCTCCATTTTAGTGACTTTAAACCCTGTTTGCGTTTGGACAAGAGGTGCAAGAAAAATGTCATTTTGCAAATGATCCACATTAGTGTGGACAGTGCATTAGTGTCTATAGGCCCAGCCTCTGCAACAGAGGAGCTCAGGGCACTGCAGTTAAAATAAACCTTTTCAGCGCAGTATTCTTTGAACACATTTTATTTAAATCTACCTGCTTTATTTTATTGCTGTATTGTTGCATTTAATCTATTGTTATATTTTGACTGTACGTTTAAGCACCTTGTCTTGCAACTTTGAACAAAAGGTGCTATATAAATAACGTCTGGACCTGTCCAGACAGCTGCACAACAACGACAAACTACTGGAGCTGACCTTACCTGACCTCGCTGTCTACACAGATTATAGTTCAGAGAGTCAGGGAGAGCATCTCATATTTTTTTCTTTCAAGGGCTTAAACAACACAATTTTTCCTAAAAATTGGGAGGAAATCTCTGTGTGACCTCTGTGTCAAACCAGTCAGTGTTAACTCAGCCAGCCAAGACTTTGAGATCAAGTGGCAGAGTCACCTCAAGCTTCCCAGGGATGGATATGCCGTTTGAAGGCTCTTATATAAAGTCCGCTGTGCCCAAGAAAAGATGTGCGGATCCAACCAATTGGCTGTGGTTTTTATTTTTAATATTCTACATCCAAGCCACATGCCTCGTGGAATGATGGCACTTTGGTGGTCCGCTCCTGATCTGGGCCACAAGTGAGTTATATCAACCAAAGGTGCCTGAATATTTTTGTGCCATTTGGTCCATAGACACTGCATGTTTGCCAAAAAAGACCCACATTTGATTTGGGATGTTTGAGCCTCATTAGCTACTTTACTTTCCATTTTGTTCAGGCCGAAAGTGTTGCATCATTACCCGAGGTGGTCCACATCCGTATACTATCTGGGAAGGGAGCAATTTCCTCCTAGTTCCAGCAAAAGTGGCGATCCATACCACACGCAAGGCTGAGCAGGTGTTGGTGACCTTTTGACTAAAACCCATCACAACAACTGCAGGTTCCAGGAGCTTCACGTACAAGCAAAGACACACTGACACCATGTTGTTTTATAGTCTGCTGCTGTGAGATACTCTCCGCTCCACTTTTTTTTAGTCGAGATGCTCCGCCGTGCCTTGTGAACTTCACATGACTCAATAAAGACATTTTAAATGTCAAATGTCTCATTTTCTAATTTTCTCTCGCTTTTGCTGTTGGCTCCATCTCCTCACCCTCAGTACCCCACCCTCCCTCTCTTCTCCATCGCCAGCTAATGTGCTCCCTTCTCCCATCCTGTTCTAGCTCTCTTTCTCTCTCTCTCTCTTTTCTAATTGTACCCGTACGGGGGCCCGGAGGCAGACGGGGAGATGATTACACAGAACTTGTAGTTATGTAATCCATTAATCCTACTCTGCCTTGATTGGCTCACTTGGATGGAGTGATGGGGGGGTATTGGGGAGGGGGAGTAATGACACACTTTACACACGGTACACAGAGTAAAATGACTGTCAAGGAGTGCTGTGGCTCACACTGCCAACTACGCGGGTCATTGCTTTCAATATACATATTTGATGTATAAGTATATATATATATATACTTATGAAAAGATAGATGGAGATATTACTTATATTTATCAAACTCAGGCCAGCAGTCCTACTCCCTCCTTCTCTTTTCCTCATCTTTGCCAGTCCTTGATTGAAGGTCACATGTCCATCTCTCTCTCTCTCTCTCTCACACACACACACACACACAGATAGGGGGTGAAATGGACTTTTGGGCACAAGGCTGTCTCTCTGATCATGCATTTGGTTTTGATTTAACTTCTTTTCCCACTAGTAGTATTCTTTTATTTATTACAATTTGTTGACTATTTGCACAACAGCACTTTTGCCTTCATATTTCTTAAGTACTTAGTTCTTGCTTTGTCTGTCTGTCGAAATATCACACACAGCGTGAGTAAGTGCTTCCCTTGCATCTTCACTGTGACCATACAAGTAATGGCCCAAAAGACGAATTTAATTAATATGCTCTATTTCTTTATTTATCTATTTTTATAGTACAAATGTGACAAGGATTCGTTGCACAATGTTTTTCAAATGCAGCTCTGCACTGTCAGGAGCAGAGCTGCATTTGAAAAACATCCTCCTGCTGATGGTGACACCACACATAATGAAATAGCACCTGATCAAATTAACCAGAAAATACGCATGTTTAGAATGAAGCAGTATAGATGCCTGGTAATGCAGACAAAATAAGAAAGAATCAAGACATGGGGAAGTTGTGCAGGAGAAAGAGCAAGTGAGGGCAAGAAGGAGCGAGAGAGGAAGAGTAACAAAGAGGACAAGAGAGGCAGCTAATAGTAATGTCCAATGTCCCCATGTATTGTGTGTTTGTCATCTTCCTGATTCAGCTCTGTGTTACATAATGCCAGGCAGAAGGCCTTGCTTTTTATATAATAACCACACACTGCATGAAATGTCCCTCTCAGTGTGTATTATAGCTTTCCATTCGGACCATTGTAGCCGCCAACCTCAGTGTGAGAGCACAACAAGAACAGTCACACTCGACGTCTGGCTCCGGGTCATAAAACATCCATCCTTGCAATGTTCTCAAAGAGGTTGAACATTCCAGCCTCCATCTTCCATCTGCAAATCCAGTTCCTCACCAACAGTTTTTCATCGGCTTGGACAATACGCTAATCTCTAATTCGATATCCTCACCATACATGCTGGTCTGATATATATTGCAATTTGATGTTACGATTTATTAAGATTTGTTTTTTTATCACTTTGCCAATTGGAAATAGTTGAATGACACACTATTTGTATTATCATGTTATTTCAGTCAGACAACTCACGTTCAACCGTTTATTGCAGCAGTAGAACATAGTTTGTGTTCAGCGTCCAGGCTCCAATTGAATCTCTCCACCAATATGATTACACAGATATGATGGGAGTGACAAGTAAATACTTGTAACCCCCCCCGTCGGAGGCTACATGTGGCTGCTGGGGTAGTGGAGGGGGTGAAGCAACTGGTAGCGATGGTACTGGTACTGCAGCAGCAGCGCGAGCAAAGGGGTTGATGGGAAATTTCTCTCTGCTTAAATAGGCCGCCTAATAAGGTGGGTGTGTATAATAGATGATTGTGGAGACAGTTTTCAGGAAAACCTTCGTACTTCAGTGTTTGGAAGCAGCTACACTCTGCTATCTGCTTGCTCAAAACTTCGTTCCACCACCTCAAAGCATTAAGTAAATTTAGTGACATAGAATTTTTGAATTTGAATTATATTGATCCAGGGAGGAAAAAAATGGATTCAAGAATCATAAAAAATATATTACAACACCTAAATTAATAGATGTTCTTCCCCACTCCTCACATCCTCACACATCCACTGTCCTGGCTAAAACACATTTTAACATTCCTGTGATGCAAATGGAAGATTTCTCATTCAGCAGAGTGAATGGAAATGAACTGAACAGCCAAAATGAGTCTCCTGACACCTTGTGTTTATCTCTCTGTGAAAAACATCTTGTAGCAACAGATCAAATTTGAATGTGAAGGTGCGACTAGTGCACAAATATCTACATCTTTCATCTTAATGCACGGCGGCACACGCAGAGCCACGCACCAGAGCTCAGGACACACACATCCATCCTTGACCTTCTGTATTGCACCACCATCTTGACAGCAGTTTACATCCATCTCGTCTGCTATTTGCTCTATGCAGCCATATTTAAATCTAATGAGCTTCTCCGAGACTTGGCTCCTGGCTCCACCGAGGCTGTGCGAGACGTGTGGAACCTAATCCTCGCTCACACAGATCAGTGACTTACAGCGATCGGCTAATAACTCTGCCAACTCTCTCATTAACCACTCTCAGTATCTCTGGTCTGGCGCCCATTAACTCACAGCGCAGACCTGACACACACACAAGTGCATGTTCTAGATGAAAGCCCTGAGTTGTAGCTTACTCTCAAATGTAAGCACGCGCTACAAACACTACACATGTGGAAAATTTTGCAGACCAGATATTCATTAACCCCTGGGATCATTTCAACCCTCTCCACTTGATAGCAAGCCAAAGGTTTAACTGCTGATGCTGACCTCATTCTAACATCAATGAATTAATATTCAGATTTTCATTAAAAATAAAACAGATACTCAAATATTTTGACCTTGACTAAGTATTTTTCTTTACCATTAAACATTCACGACTAAATATGCTACATTTTAAGCTTTTTGTCGGTAGACACTGAGACAGTTGAGCAGTATAACGAAATGGTGGAATTTACAAAGAATGGCTTCAGGCTTGGATCAGAGCAGAGTGGGACACACAGGTGAGCAGGGAGTTTACCCGGGTCTAGGTCGGGGTTTTGGCAAGATAGAGGTGGGCAGGCAGGGTGAACCTGGAGCATCCCAGTTCAATGCACATCCCACAATTCTCTGCATCACCTCTTAAAAAATAAGTGTAATACCTTATATAAACCTACACCTACATTTGCACCTGATAAGTATTATGCCATGTTGTGCAAAACTAGCAGCAGCAAACTCTGTGTAAACAAACACAGCTGATTGTCAGATGTCCTGCGGCTGCGCACCTCGGTGACGTCACCCCAGTGAAAGCCCAGGATGTAAACAAAGCAACTTGGACTCACAGGGGACTAGTGCTGGTGATTCATAGTAAATAAAGAGTTTTGCGGCAGATGATGCGTTATTTAGAGGCTGTTTTGTGGATGCCCCAGTCACTTGCGTTGTATGGATATACGCCGATCGCGTGTGGATCTAAAAGCGTCCGAAGGACTCCAAGTTACTCCAAACCTTTATGGGTGAGTAGATCTACATACCATATGCTGGAAATAAGGACCAGGTTGAAAGGAATTGTTGTAATTTAGGTTGGACAGCAATGCTGTATTGTTTTCAGTTATATTTGAGAGAACTACCTCGTGCAACAAGTTTTTATTGTATTGTTTGTTTTTCAATAAAATAAGATTCAAAGATTGAAGGTGTATGCTGTCAGTTATAGAAATATCGGTATCGGCCAAAATTGGAATCGGCAGGTCAGGCTTTTTAAAAATCGGTGATCGAAAATTGCAATCGGTGCACCCCTTATTTATATATTAATACATTATTTATAACATCAGGCTTGCTATATTTTATCCCTTATGATATGTTTATCTAGCGTGTAAGACATCACAATAAAAAGTTTAAAAAATCCCTCTGGGACAAAGGTAAAACTGAGTCTGTGCACATTCATGTCTATCATCAGTTCAATAAGTGCATATGAATGGTTTGCACAATTTTCACCTAAGATCTTCTCCTGCTGAACAAGGCTCTAAACTCTCTGCTGAAGAATGAGCGAATCCTTTTGAACAGGCTCTTCCTCCTTTTGACATCAGGTGAACCATCAGGCACCGTCTTCTCCTCAGTCAGATCACAAGTGATATCGTGATTGACAGCTTCAGCACCCTCAGCTCCAGCAGCAGCTGCTCCTTCAGGCAGATTTGTGCTGCATTCATTGGCGCAAGGAGACGTTGAAGACACGCCCTGAACTTCCTCCTCAGTCTTATCATCAGACGTTTCCTCCAGAGAGTTGTCCGTCTTTATCCACAGGATTTCTCCAAGTGTGGCAGGCTCGTTAGTGACGTCATCACCGCAGAGAGGAGAAGCAGAGACTTTGTGGATGGAGTCATCCTTCGAGTCTTCCAACTTGCAGACGATCATCTTCTTAAATGCGTTGCACACACTGAGAAAAACACGACAAAAAAATATTAACTTAATCAATCAGTAAATAAACTTGTCAATTCATCCAATCGTGCATCTGTCCAACTCTGCAGATACCAACACCCAGTCACTTACTAAAGGCTGGTGTACCGCTCCTCCATGAGTTCCATGGATATAAATGGGTGCCGCAGAGCCTCAGCAGAAGTGATCCTCAGCTCAGAGTCCATGTGCAGAAGATGCTTCAGCAGGTTGATGAAGGCTTTGTTATCGATCATATTAATTGGCTCCTGACCCTCTTGGTAAATCTGGATTTGAAACAAAGATGATTGTTCAGTTTATCTGCTTCCTGTCTCTTGGTAACAGAACTCGGCAGGAAACCCTTAACAAGAGGGTTGGCGGTTTGATCCCATTGTCTGTGCTCTGTCCTCAGGCAGCATGTGAGTGATGTGTGATAGAGAAAGTGCTGCACATACATGCCTGAGTGAGTGTGAATGGGGGAAAATAGGAAATACAGACCATTTAATAATTTTATGAAAAGGACCACTTACTGTTTCAAGCTGATCCAGGGACCTGAACTGAACTGGCCAGCCCTGTGTAGGCTCAATCCCAGTTTCGAACATGAATTGCATTGGGCTCTGCAACAACAGAAGATATTTTAGATACTTCTCCCCAAATGTGTCAACCATTGCAAACTTTTCTCTGGTTAGGAGATTCAAATAATATCAACAGCTCAGGTATGAGCAAAACAAAATTAAATAGTTAAAATTACCTTCAGCGACCATTTAGGGTTTTTCCAGTGCGGGTTCTTCGTGAAGAACCAATGGGTTTGTGTTGCTGCATTCAGGAGGTAGTCATCTGGTTTGCCCAGGACAGTGATCATGCTCCTCATCTGGAGAGAGAATATAAGGAACCACATTAGCCCACATCCTACAGCAAGACTCAGTCAGAAGCTGTGAAATCCAACCTAGATATACTGTACTACGTTACTCACCATCTGATACTCGCATTCTGTATTAAACAGTTCCTCACCGAGGTACAAGTATGCGAGGATACACCCAAGACCCCACAGGTCGATTGCTTGGGAGATGGGGAGACCCAGGGAGACTTCAGGTGCCCTGTTTGTAGAGGACAAGAACAAAAAGAGCTCCTAAGTACTCAAGAGTCAACATGTTTATTGAAAACTGACATCAGCTGAAACACTGAACTGCAAAGATGAGCTTTGCAGATTAACCTACCTGAAACCCACAGGCTGAATAACCATTCCGTCTGTCACTTCAGAGGTTCTGAACGACACGCCAAAGTCTATGAGTTTGACGCGGAATGGCTCCTTGTAGTGATTAACCAGCATGACATTATCTGGCTTCAAGTCACTGTGGATGATGCCGAGTCTCCTCAGGGCTTCTAAGGCCGTCAGCAACTGCAGGGACAGACAAATGTAGATTAAACACACTGTTGACCAGCGTGCAACAAGGAACATGATTTAAGACTTTTTAATAGCTAAATCCTCGGTATACTGCCAATACTTAGATATTATACACTCTTTGTGTAAGGCCATAGAGTTTACCTGTTGTGCTATCGGCCGTATCTCACTGACAAACAGCGGTTTGCCCTCTCTGTCCTCGAGAAGCTCGCACAGATTCCTGTCCAGCCTTTCAAACACTAGGCAGGTAAATCCAACTTGCTCGACCTTCTCATAGAAGTGCACCACGTTGGATTTAACTGGGTCCAGAACACTCACGACTTCCATCATGTTGATCTGTGAGAGGGAACATAGATAAGGAACGGCACTGAATCAGCAGTTCATTTATTCAATGAGACTAAATGTCACCAAACCTTTGAAGTGGCACTAAAAGACTTACCTCATTTTTGAATACTTCTTTGTCAGACAAAATCTTGACCGCAACATTCTGCTTTGTGCACAGATTCACTCCCCTGGCAACACTGCCGAAAGTTCCTTCACCAATTATGTTCAGGAGCTTGTAGTGACTCTTCCCACTAATCAGCAGGCCATTGTTTTGAAACGCCTTCTTTTGTTCTGGGAGAAAGGAGCAGAACGTGTGAATATCACAACATGCGAGTAGGTGGGTCAATACATGATTATTGATACTATAGAAGGAAAAAGACACAGAACAAACAATATGTAGCTAATAATATAGCTAATGAACTAAAATATTTATTAGTATCATCAACAATATCCAGGTTTTAAAGTGTAACGTTTGGATATTTAGAAGTCATTTATGTAAGGTATTTTATTTAGTTGCCTTATTGTGGAAGGCTGGTCAGTGAATTTGTGTTTCCTGTCATGATAAGCAGCGTATCTGTATGGGACTTTTATTGTGAAGTGTCACCGACGGAAGCAGTTCTGTTTTGGTAGCTAGGTGACCACTTGTGAAAAGTAAACAAGTGAAGTGTCCTCGTTCAAACCACATTCTTCATGTCCTTCATGTCCTTCATGTCCTTCTTCACCCGCTGCCTCCAGTCCAGGTGAACTCAGCTCTCGGCTACATTTAAAATGGTTGTGTGTGTGTGCGTGCGTCTGTGCGCGTGCGTGTGTGTGTTAGCCGCAAACTGGTCAGAAATCGGAAGTAAACAAGTTTCCCTCCTCTCACTGTGAACTTCTCCGATGGAGTTATTTGTCCAGCGCTGGTGGAAATAAATCCATTAAATCACTTCCTCCTTCCCAAAGAATGTTTCAGTGGCTGGCGCACACAAGTTACATGACCCGCGAGAGCTACTGCCGCGCGGCGCACACAATTAACGTCACCACAGTCAGGACACCACAGTTAGATATCAGTATATATAGTTTAGATTTAGATAAATATAGTTTGACATCCCTAATTACTGAGTAATCAGCATCTAAGTTTGAATTGACTGCATCACAATGTATTGATGTTTGAGAGACAATGTTTGGTTTTCTTAATATATGATATGCTCTATGTGGCTACAATTTATGCTTCTCTATACTTAATCCACTACATTTCAATTTACAATCACATACAGTACAGTAAGAAAGTACATTTACTCACTTACTAAATGTCCAACACACTGTTCATGTGTGTGTGTGTGTTTGCAGTATTCTTACCTTGTCCGTCTGCTGACGACATTGTATCTGATCGTAGTTTAATCGAAAGAAATCAATGTTTTCCACAAAAATGTCGATGCTGAAACTTCTTCAGGAACAAGTGTTGTTCACAGTTCATGAATTATGTTCAACTGAGGTCATGTGATAAAGTAACTGTTTATATTCAGATTTCCACATCAAAGTCACGCTTTTTGTAAAGTCACAGTGTGTCTAGTGACATCTAGTGGTGAGCTGCAGATTGCAGCTGAATACCCCTCACGTCACCCTCCCCTTCCAAACATATAAGAGTTCAGTTGTCATAAAAACTCAAAAGGTGTTAAGTTTGTCCAGTCTGGACTACTGTTAAAAACATGGCGGCCTCCGTAGAGACGACCCCCTTGATGTAAATATGAAGTATTTAAATATAAAGGGTGAAGGGACTCATATTTGCACGTTCTGTTTTTAAGCTGCTGTCTATTCATTCTTCTTCATTCATATGTTTTACTCAGTTGCACTGTAGGGCCTGTTTACATTTTCTTCCTGTATATCTTAGCTGGCCGTTTATTTATTGGTGTGTGTGTGTGTGTGTGTGTGTGTGTGTTGTGTGCACTGCACTAATGTGACTGTAAATATTACTTTCGGGCTTTTTTGGTGGTGGGTCAACTATCCCTTGAAACACTTTCTGGAGCTGCACCTTAATTTCATTGTATGTTGTACAGTGACAATAAAGTTTCTATTCTATTCTATTCTAAAGAAAACAACAACTCCTACAATTTGTTGAAGCACATTAGTGAAAACATCATGAGGATTATTTTAAATAAATCTTACACACTCGACCTTTATAATCATTTATCTTGCCAAATATTTTTCAAATTAGATTTTCAAAGGGTTATAACGTGTTAAACACACAAACAAACACAGACAAGGACAAACCGGGGACAAACAGGAAACATAAGGAGAGGAAGAACTGCATAACAAGGGAATTACTAACAATTTAAGCAGCAACAAAAGGATAAAACATCCGTGGGTCATATTTTGATATTTTTGAAGTTTACAGCCAACAATCAATCAATCAATCAAATTGTATTTGTATAGCCCATATTCACAAATCACAGTTTGTATCATAGGGCTTTAACAAGCTGTGACATCCTCTGCCCTGTAAGGAAAAACTATCAAAAACCCTTTTAACAGGGAAAAATGAAAAATGAAAAACCTGTTCTTCTGGAACTATGATAGATGAGTAATTACAGCGTTAGAGTAAATGGTTTGTAGCATGATGGAAGGTAAATGAATCGAGGAATTATTGTCAGTAATGGTCGAGTATCTGAGGAGACATATTGTATGTCCAGCAGTCTTGTTGTAGTCATAGTCCACGATCAGCTGCCACCAACACCAACAAGTGTGCGTTTGGATTCCGATGGCAAAAGGAGCCGTAAGACTAAACTGGAGAATCTGGGTTTTAAACCATGTCATGGTTTGAAGATTATTGGTGGCAACAGAATATACTCATGAGGTCTCTCTCTTTCTCATTCAGGACATGAAAAGTACAAAAAATCAACTGCACATATGTGTTGTGTCCAAACGATGCAGTCCCTGAATGGAGACACAGCCTTTAATCTGTATGTTTGTCCTTTTGACGTGTCTTTTTAGGACAACCTGTGAGCACTTCTTTGTGAAACTGAATCTTGCAAAGCTTAAAACCTGGAAAACCACCTGTGAGTAGCATTGCCAACATCATCACCGTCTACATCGGACMCCTGGCCAAAGAGAAGGACTTCCAGCCATTGCATCAGAGAGGTTAGTGTGATATACGTGTTCAATAATTCAGTATGGTCCTCGAAGGATGGTATAAAAATTTAAATGGCCTTGATATGAAAAAGGCACAACCCACCCCTGCTGTAAAGCAACTGATTTATCTTATACATTTATGATAGACAGCTGAATCGTTCCTCAGCGGACGGTACAAGGAAATGTTGAGAGGTTGAGGTAGTCTTGTGGTGTCGGCGCTGATATCGTGTGTCCTGTTGAAGCTTTCTAGACCTCTCACTGGTCATGCATTATACAGTTAGTTGTGGTGGGAAAGCTGCTTGAACTATAAAAATGTAAATAAGTTATATTGATGGCAACCCAATAAACCCAGGTCATCAGGGAGATTGTTATTGATTTGAGAGAGTGTGTGTCAGTGTGTTTTTTTCCACTGTAACAACAACTCCACAACAGTAGTCTTCCCCCTCACTGCCTAATTGAAATCATACAAACTTTTGACAAGTTGTTTTGCATGTAAATGAAGACAAATCCACTTCTTTACTTAAACTCTGTGGCGCTCTCCCTGCCACGCACCTCTGTGGATGTGAGCCCAGAGAACACAACCTCGTTAATACTCTAATGATATCATCTCTGAGCATAATGAACTAATGTGTCAAGCGGATGTCTCCCCTATCTGCCAATCTCCTTTCATCAAGCGCAGTGTGCGGTAGGTGGGCATGTTGGCAATCTTTATAGCAATTTTAATAGCTCCCATTATTCCCCCGTTTCACTGCTTTTCACAGTGATTCGAAAACCTGCTGACAGCAGCACCCGGCTGCCAGGCAGCAACTGGCACACTCATTATTTCACAATCAGTCTTTTATTTACCTCCATCGCCACACACAGCTAATGGAGAAGTTTTCTATTAAAATGAGACAAGGGTAGTTTGAGCTTCCCAGGAGCCAAGTACTCCAGTTCCCCAAGTTTTGTGCCCATTGGCAAGCATATGAAAATAACATATCCTGCGTTGGTTGCGTAATAAATAATAGCAGCCATTTTCCACCGTGGTGGAAATTCATTTCTGTTGTTAAATGTGTGTAAAAACTATTAATTCAAACTTTCACTTAATGAAAAGTTGGATGGAAGCTGGAGAAACTCTTTGTAAGCTGGGTAATTGCCTTCAGTAACTGCTGTTATTGTCGTTATTGCTGTGGCCTCCACTAAATGATCACTTTCTCACAAATGGACACACACACACACACACACACACACACACACGCACACACACACACACACGCATGCACTCACACACTCACAATTGCTTGCAGACCAGGGACAGTCTGAGAAGTGCTATTTTCTTTACTTGCTATGTTAACTCTTTTTTTCTTACTTAATGAAGTAAATCTACTTCATTTAATACAGTGTTTCCTGCATAATTCATTCAATATATGGCAGCAGAGGGGGCACACGTTGCTCCCTCAGATTCCGAGTGACTTTAGAGGCCAGTCACACATAAACAAATGCAGTTAGAACACCTACAATAAGAGATCGCGTATGTTATTTTGAGAAGTGTTGACAGCGGTGCTAATTGTGGAACTCTGTGATTTATGTTGACACTCTTAAGGTGTTGGCTGCTTCTTTGGCATAGTTATGATTATTGCTTCGCTTCATTATATATGGAACCATTACAGCTTATTTCAAGTTGGTCTCATGGCATATATTTAAAGAACTGTGTTCATCCTTGTGGATACTGGTGCGGTCTATGCTTTCCTTCTCATATACTCCCCATGTCTGGTGCCAGCTTGGTGGAACATTTTATTTTGAAAATCCAGAAAGTGGAAAATAAAATGTTCCCTAAAGTGCGTCCCATACGCTTGTACTAATCTTTAACTGTGACAATTTCAAAATATGCATTTCTATTTCACAATAACAGTATTGTTCTGGTTTTTAGAGCTTCCGCTGGAAAGAATAATTAATGAGTGAGAGATGTGGAAAAACGTTTTAATCATATATCATTGTGTATGTATGTTAAAGCCACCAGAATGAAATAGTATATGTTTGGTATTTTGTCTTTATTTTTATGATAGACACAGTGAAGGAGAAACTGTAAAATGGGGGAGAGGATACAGTAAATGGTCCGATGGGAGTTGAACCTGCTGCATACATGTAGCATGTGTTTTAACAAGAATAAAGTGAACATATGAGACAAGTAGAAATGGGTATTTGGATGTGGTGGAAGTTTTTCAGAGATAGATAGATTAGTGCATCACTTGAAAAATAAAATCTAAATAAAACATGTCTCGCACTGACTGTCAGTGAATATTAACCTCCTGACATATCCAAACGCTTTTCATAGTTCCAGAAGAGCAGCATTACTCACTGCTCAGTCTGGTCTACATGTGTCACACCTCATATTAGTCATGTGGATAATTTGCAGCTTTCTTTCCTCAAACCAGCCCCAGAGGAATGAAAAAAAAACACTCTTCTCTGCTGATTTACACTCAGTCTAAAATAAATCCATACCATCACAGCAAGAAAAATGGGTGCTTGTAACATTTAATTATTAGAAATTGCTGAGTGGAGAAGTTTTGTAATAATATCCCTTCAGAGAAATACATAAGCATTTATCCTGCAAAGGAGAGGGCCTGCGGTTGTTTGCTTTGTAATTAAGGACACTACACAGCTCTTTCCTCCTCCTCCTCCGCTCTTCTTCCTTTCCTCTTGTTGGCAGCAGTGCTCAGCGTAATCTCTGGCCCTAATAAACACATGCTCACATGCAGATACATGCGTACACACACACACACACACACACACACACACACACACACACACACTGACACACACGCATATTCTTTCTGTGAAATCCCTTTAGCTGGAAGAGCATGCCGTCTTAGCAGCGCAGGCCTTCAACACGCGCTGCA